TCCCAAATCCAGGGGTGAGATGAGGATGATCCAAGACACAAAGCCGGAGCAAAAGAAGAGCGAATCTTAGATTCGTAGGTATACCCTCAGGGAAGCTAAGGGTGGTGATTTGAATTATACCCTCCAGCAAGGCAGGACTCAAGATACATTCCACCTGTGTTGCCCCAACAGAACGAACCTAAATCCCATCACAGAGTCGATTGCCAGTCATTATAGGGAATGACTACTACCAGCTGCCCAGCCAAGTTGATACCTGACCTTAACTACCACAGCACCCCAAACAGGCATGGATAATGGAATTTACAAAACATCACAGAATGAAGGACAATAGCTAGAAGGGCCACATCAAGCAATTCACTGCACTACCTATACCACTTTCAGCTTTGACTAGAGAAAGGGGTAGAAGAGGCTTGTTTTTATTAGAAGATGTCTTCATCTTTAAGGAAGATGTTGATGTTCCTGGATACAATAAGGAAGATGGATTTGTGTACATAACTGTCTGTTCATAAGGATATATGAGAGTTGATGCTGGTTTTTATAAATATTTTCAGAAAATTATTTTAAATTAATTTAGAAAGTGTGACCATTAAAATGGAACTGAAATATCCTTTTTGGCATTTAGTAGCATCCATTTATACACATTAAAAAAAAAAAAAAGACAGCTAAGGACATCCACCACTCGTCTGTCAGTTTGTTGTACTGTGGTAGCTTGCATGTTGCTGTGAGGCTGGAGGCTATGTCACTGGTATTTTAATTACCAGAAGGGTCACCCATGGTGGACAGGTTTCAGCAGAGCTTCCATACTAAGATAGAGTAGGAAGAAGGAAGAAGCCATCTACTTCTCAAAGACTTGGCCAATGAAAACCTTATCAATAGTGGTGAAACACTGTCTGATAGATTACTAGAAAACTTTATGAATGGCCCTGAAGCATTGCCTGATACAGTGATGGAAGATGAGCCTCTCAGGTCAGAAGGCACTCAAAATACAACTGGGGAAGAGCTGCCTCCTCAAGATAGAGATGACCTTAATGACATGGATGAAGTAAAGCTTTTGAGACCCCATTCACTGATGTGGCAGGACTTAAAATGAGAAGAAACATCTGTAAACATTGTTAATAATCAGAACATAGAATGTATGAAGTGTGAATCTAGGAAAATTGGAAGTTGTGAAAAATGAAATGGAACACAAAGGTAGATATCTTAGACATTAGTTAGCTGAAATGGATTGTTTTTGGCCATTTTCAATCAGATATGATTACAAATATGATCTACTATGCCGGGAATGACAGATAGAAGAGGAATGGTGTGGCACTCATTATCACAAAAAATGTTGCAAGATCTATCCTGAAGTACAATGTGGTCAGTGATAGGATAATATCGATACACCTACAAGGAAGAGCAGTTAATACTACTATTACTCAAATTTATGCACCAACCAGAAATTGAAGATTTTTACCAACTTATGCAGACTGAAATTGACTGAACATGCAATCAAGGTATGTTAATTATCACTGGTGATTAGAATGCAAAAGTTGGAAACGAAGAATCACCAAAAGTTGGAAAATATGGCCTTGGTGATAGAAATGAAGCTGAAGATAGCATGATAGAATTTTGCAAGACCAATGACTTATTCATTGAAAATACCTTCTTTCAACAACATAAATGACAGCTATACACATGGACTGCTACAGATGGAACACACAAGAATCCAATTGACTACATCTTTGGAATGAGGTGATGGAGAAGCTCAATATCTTCAGCCAAAACAAGGCCAGGAGCTGACTGTGGAACAGACCATCAGTTGCTCATATACCAGTTCAGGTTAAAGCTGATGACAATTATAACAAGTCCACAAGAGCCAAAATATGACCTTAATTATATCCCACCTGAATGTAGAGACCATCTAAAGGATAGATTTTACATATTGAATGACAATGACTGAGAACCAGAAGAATTGTGGGATGACATCAAGAACATAATACATGGAGAAAGCAAAAGGTCATTAAAAAGACAGGAAAAGAAGACCAAAATGAATGTCACAAGAGACTCTGAAACTTGCCCTTGAATGGAGAGTAGCTAAAGCAAATGGAAGAAATGACAAGATAAAAGAGCTGAACAAGATTTCAAAGAGCAGCTGGAGAAGACAAATCAGTTATTATAATGATGAAATGTGCACAGAACTGGAGTTAGAAAACTAAAAGGGAAGCACATGCTTGGCATTCCTCAAGCTGAAAGAACTGAAGAAAAAAAATCAAGCTTTGAGGTGCAGTATTGAAAAATGGGCAAACTATTGACTGATGCAGGAAACATGAAAAGAAGATGGAAGGCGTTTTGGCTACCTAGGCCTGCTCTGACAGGAGTATACCACAAATGGGATGGCTTTCACAAACAGGAATCTTACAACTTTGGAGATTAAAAGTACGAGTTCCAGGTGCCAGGCTCTAGGGGCTGGGTGAAATCCTCTCAACCTTGAGCTTCTGCCTCTTGCTTCTGGCCCACTGAAGCTAGAGGCATCTCTTCACTAGGGCAGCTGCTAGCTGCTGAGGCTGACAAACCCAAGGTCAACAAGTGAAATGGCACAGTACTGATATTACCAAACCACACAATAGGCCATTAATTCAAGTCCATTAAAAGTCTCAAGATTGGCAGGACAACATGGCAGGTTGCTGAATGACAACTCGGCTACATGCAGGGTTCAAGTGTGCCATCAGCTGGATACCTTCCTCAAAGTTGCTGCTTATATGCTGGAAGCAGCTCACATCCCTAAAGCAGCTATTCAGCTGCTCTAGTAGATTCCACCATGGAGTTAATTACCGATCTCACTATGGGGAATGACTACATCCAGCTTCCCAGCCACTCAGCCAGGCCCAGCTAAGTTGACATACAACCTTAACTACCACAGAAGGAATGTATGGAGTTACTGGACCAAAAAGAATTAATCAGTTTTCATTTATTTTAGAAAGTTACGAATGATCAAGAACCAATGGTATTGAAGGAAGAAGTCGAAGCTGCATTGACGGAATGGGAAAAAACAAGGCTACAGGAGTTGATGGAATTCCCACTGAGATGTTTCAAGAAATGGTTGCTGTGCTAGAGGCACTTAGTCTTCTCTGCCAAGAAATTTGGAAAACAGCAACCTGGCCAACTGACTGAAAGAGATCCATATTTGTCCCCATTACAAAGAAAGAGGTGATCACACAGAATGTGGAAATTGTCAAACAATATCATTAATATCACACACAAGTAAAATTTTACTGAAGATAATTTAAAACATGTTTGCAGAAGTATATGGACAGGGAACTTCCAGAAATGAAAGGTGAATTCAGAAAGGGACATGGAACGAGGAGGGTATCATTGGTGATGTGAGATGGATCTTGGCTGAAAGCAAAGAATACCAGAAAGATGTTTACTTGGTGTTTTATTGGCTATGCAAAAGCATTTGACAGTGTGGATCATAACAAATTATGGATAACATTGAGAAGAATGGGAATTCTAGAACACTTAATTGTGTTCCTGAGGAACCTGTCCATAGACCAGGAGGCTGTCATTCAAACAGAACAAGGGGATACTGCATGGTTTAAAATCAGGAAGGAAGTGTGTCAGAGCTGTATACTTTCACCATACTTATTCAATCTGTATGCTGAGCAAGTAATCCCAGAAGCTGGAGTAGATGAAGAATGTGACATCAGGATTAGAGGAAGACTCATTAACAACCTACTATATGCAGATAACAGCTTTGATTACTGAAAGTGAAGATGACTCAAAGCACTTACTGTTGAGGATTAAAGACTACAGTGTACAGTATGGATTACACTTTCACATAAAGAATGTGAAAATCCTCACAACTGGACCAATAAGCAGCATCATGATAAATGAAGAAAAGATTGAAGCTGTCAAAGATTTCATATTACTTGGTTCCACAGTCAACACCCATGGAAGCAGTAGTCAAGAAATCAGATGTTGTATTGCGCTGGTCAAATCTGCTACCAAAGACCTCTTTAAAGTACTGAAGAGCAAAGATGTCTATTTGAAGACTAAGATGGGCCTAACCAGGCCATACTATTTTCAATAGCCTCCCATTCATGTGAAAGGTAGATAATGAATAAGAAAGACCGAAGAAGAGTTAATGCTTTTGAGTTGTGGGGTTGGTGAAGAATATGGAAAGTACCATGGACTGCCAGCAGAACTAACAAATCTGTCCTGGAAGAAGTGCAGTGGGAATGCTCCCTGGAAGGGAGAATGGCCAGACTTCGTCTGACCTAGTTTGGTCATGCTGTCAGAAGGAACCATTCCCTGGAGAAAGGATATCATGGTTGGTAAAGTGGAGGGTCAATGAAAAAGAGGAAGGCCCTTAACAAGATGGATTGACACAGTGGCTGCAACGATGGGCTTAGGTGTAGGAAAGATTGTGAAGCTGGCACAGGACTGGGCAGTGTTTTGTTCTGTTGTATGGCACCTAACTATAACAACATTTTTAGACATTGATTTAAAAAAACCCTACTATACTGAAACTGTAACATAATCGTAGTCTTTTTATACTTGAAGAAATAAACCATGTGTAATTTATGAACTGAATAATTGAGACAGGCCTTTCTATCCATTTAGCATAAGTTAATAAGATTTTTTCTGCATCTGGAACTGATAATGTCAATTATACATGACTTGATAATTGACAAGAGAGTAAGGAGAACCACCATTTCTTAGTTGGAAACAACAAACTTAACTCTTCCTACTTTTTCATATCTTTATAATGAAGAGTTATGTTTCCATGTAAGTGTGAGACAGCCCTTCTGGTTCTGGCAACTTTTATTTCCCTGAATATTTAATTTTTAATCTTCATAGAATATTGCAGTATTTTATTTTTGTCTGATTCATGATATCATACATAAAACTATCCAACTTTAATGTTCCCTTTTAAGAATGATGTGAAAGAAGAGAACTATTTCCATGTGTATATTTTTAGTCAGGAATAATGCCTATAATATAAACAATAAGCTTCTAATTTTTTTTAACTTCTTTCCCCATTTATTTGTTTTCCCAAAAAATTATATAAAAAAGTTATAGTATTAAATAATCCATATTCTTTCCATAGCCTGTTATAGGAAATTCAGAAAATATAAACACAGTATCACTACCCAAAGATGATCTCTTTTGATATTTTGGTGTATACTGTTCTAGTGCGTACAGTATTTAAATGGAATCATATTGTACATAATGTGTTTTTTATATAATAATTTTCTTTGAAATATCTTTTCATGTCAACATGTATACATGGACAAAATTTTTAATGACTTCACATAATGAAATTACGTTTTGGGAAGGTCATTTATTTGTTCCCCCATTTGTATATGTGTGTCTCTGGTTTGCTTTGTCCTTTGTGTGAATCTATAATTGTTTTCTCAGTGTAAAGCCCTAGAGGTGGATTTGCTGTGTCAAAGAATGCTATTTCAAGATGTTTGATAAATACTGTCAAATTATCCTCAAGAGAGGCTTTGCCACCAGTAGGATTCAATTTTGTGTATTAAAGTCCTCTTAATTTGCTGTTTACCTATTTTCTTTCCCCTAAAATGGACATGATTGTGTTTACTAACCCAGTATTTTGTTTCCGTTTTTTTTTTTTTTTTAATTCTTTCATTGGTTCTTTAATTTTTAATAATAAGGGGAGTATATCTATTAGTCCAATAGAAAATAGTGAATTAAAGCTTTCTGTCCCTTTCTCTTTTTTTAGATGGAGTCCACTGTCTTACCTGTGCAATGATGCTGCTTAACACTGATCTACATGGCCATGTAAGTGTGGGTTTTGTGAAGCTGTCTTACAGAAATCCAAAAATGTCTTGAACTTATCTTTGCTTTTGTGCCTGTACATGTTTATTCTCTGCCTTTCTCCCTCTTGTTCCTGCATGAGTCCCCTGGTAGATATATCATCATAAATATTTTGGAAAAAGCAATCATGTTTTATCTTATAGGCTAGCATAAAACATAATTTTAAGTTGACACCATACTGTTTAGATGACTAGAATAGTTTTGTAACTTGTATTCTGTATCCTCTTTCTCCACTAGATGGCAAAGACAAAACTTTTTTTTTGTTTTGTTGTGTGTGTTGTTTATGCATTAAGACTGATATCCAGTGATGAAAAAAGAATAAAAGTTAGATCTGAGAATGTCAACCGTATTTTCACTAAATACAGTAATAAGTCCAAGAACTTAACCTTTCTATACTGTTCAGCTCACGTGGTCTTTTATTAGTTGAAATAGTGAACTAATCTAATAGATTTTTCTATTTAAAACAGATGATGAACTGCTTAAATTTATAATTGTGTGTAAACTTTCACCTTAGGATTTATTAAACTATTGATAGTAGAGAAAGAGAATCTTTTAGTTAACTGTAGGTACTCACTTAGACCAAAAATGATTTCATAGAGCCAAGTCCATTTATTTTGGACAGCTCTGGTGGCATAGTGCCTAAGGCATTTTTGACTGCTAACCAGAAGGCTGGCAGTTCAAACCCACCAGCCACACCTTGGAAGGAAGACTAGGCAATCTCCTTCTGTAGAGACCACCTCAGAAACCCAAGGAGAGGTTGCTATCAGTCAGAAATGACTTGATGGTAGTGAGCTTTTTCTTTTTTTTTTTTTTTACTTTTTTATATACTTGAGAAACTTAGATCATCCCTAGATTTGCTGATATAATTTCTTAAAATTAAAAAAAAAATCAGTTAAAAGAATTCATTAAATATTGATCCACATTTGTTCTGAAATTCCAAAACCATCTCAAAAAAGAAAAAAAAAAAAACAAAAAAAAAACAGTGCTGTCAAGTTGATTCTTATAGAAACCCTATAGGACAGAGTAGAACTGCCCCTAGAGTCTCCAAGGCTGTAAATTTTTATGGAAGCCGACTGCTGCATCTTTCCACCATTGAGCAGCTGTGGGTTCAAATTGCAAACCTTTCACTTAGCAGCTGAGTGCTTCTGCCACTGTACGAAGTCCACATAATTTGCTTATTTGAAACTGTTTCTCTTTAAGAAAGGCAAAATGCCACTTTTTCAGACCTTGAAAATAAGAGTGCCTATTATAAGAGTATTGGAGAAGAAAAGGATTATACCATCAGAATGATGAAAAGGAGGTATATTGAGAGAAGCAACACCCTCTTTACTTATTCCACCAGGAGCTTCCTTTGTGTAATTAGCAACAGATGAATTTAGACTAACTTAATGACTTGTAGACATATGTAGCATGTGTACAGAGATGATACAGACTAAAAATCTAGATACTTTCAGGGAACATTCTTAGATAATAGGGTAGTAATATGGCTTGTGGAAATGAGGGTGTTGGAATTCCCACAGTGTGGCCTGTGAATACCAGAATCTTATATTCACTCAACTTCCAAGTCTATTGTGCTGGCCTGTGCGCGTCTGTCACCAGTGAGGCAAGTTTTCACCATTTTTGTCTTTGTCATCTTGTGATAACAATTATAACTCTGCCCTTTCCTTTTTCTCACCTATTCCCACTCCCTGATTTCTTAACTTTTTGGCTGAAAGTGAGAATTCTAAGCATGTTTGTCTACAAGTAACAGTGACCCAAGTTAGAGATTATTAGTGCTTTTTAGTATGAAGAAACTCTTTATATCAGATATTTTGAGAGTACCTCCATCAACATACATATGATGTGCATTTAGTACTTGTTAACTGAGAAAATGCGTCATGACAGTGGTAGGAGGGTTTGGGGATGGGGAGAGCTCAGAGGCCTTAAGTAAACCAAACGAAACCCACTGCCATTCATTCGGATCTGACTCATAGTGACCTGTCTTTGGATTTCTGAGGTGGTGTCTCTATGGAAGTAGATTGCCCAACCTTCCTTCTGTAGAGGTTAGAATTTTGGTGTTTCTGTAACTCATGAATTGTTTTTTAAAAAAGCTATACTTGTTTTAAAAAAATGCTTTCAAATAAACATATTTTAGTAATCACAATAATTTGGAACATAGTAGTAAACAGAAGTGTGAGGTATTTTATTTAGTGGATAACTCAGTGTGCTAGATGCACATGGAAGGTGTGGCACTGCTAGTCTGTTGCCCACAGGTGTAGAACCACAGATCTTAGCCACTTGCTCTTGCTCCTTCTTCAGAGGCTTTTGAGGAATTGTAAGATTAGATGAAGCATCACACCTCTTTTAGGTAACTGGGATGGAAGAGACTAAATGAACATTTAAATATTACCCTGAGTTATGCTGATTATAGATAATTAACAATTGGGTACAGCAGCAAAATCACTGATGTAAGAGGTAAATAACGCTAAATCTCCACATCATGTTGCAGATCATGATTTTGGCTTTGTTTTTTAAAATGTGTGCTTTATACTCAGAAGTGGCTATGTTCAGGTTTACAATGTTAGAGTTTTATTTATCCTTATAATGCATGCAGTTAAAAGTATGTTGACTGTATAATAGCTATGATACAAACTAACCATATGAAAATGTGTTTCTCTCATTTTCCTCCTCTGGATTCATTTTTAAAATAAATTTTCCTTCTAGGTGGTAAGTATTTATCCATAATTCTGGATGTAGCTTCTCTTGCATCATGATTGCCTGATTTATTGTTATAGTGTCTGCTTTGATAGCATGGCCCTTTTGAAGTTGAATCACTTGAAAGATAAATTACTTCTAATTACCGGCTCCTTTTCACCTTCTCCTTATGCTGTACTGCATAGTCCCTCACCACCCATTACTTGGTCCCATGCCAGAAAAATCCTCTTGGGGAGTGAACTAATAAACTATTTTCCTTTCCTTCCTAACCATTGTGGGATAATAGCAATACAACAGCATGACCTTTCTAAGAAGTGCTGATACCAGCTTTTCCTCATATTTTTATTGGAGATAGCTAACTTGGGAGAAGTAACTTCTTTGGCTGTTCTTTGTGACTCTTTGTGGGTTGCCACCACCCCCCCCCCCGCCCCCCGTGGAATGATGTATTGAAAGTGCATTGGTATGGGCCTCTGGCCTGCTAACTTTCTAATAAAATGATGGAATGTGTACTAATACAATAAGCATTGCTAATTTATAATAAACAGCTCACTGTTACATGTTGGAGTACTTTCTGTATTTCTTTTTCTAATTTATTCTCTCATGCAGTAAATTTTGTGTCCCTACCATTCCAAGTTCTGTGCCATTTTGTAAATATCAGAAATGAGACATGTTCATTGAAATCATATCTCATCTTAGGTAGTGTTGACTAGGCTGACCTCCTTTAGTCAGGCTTAGCTCAAGAAATGGTAGCAGGTAAATGAAGTGCTGATGTGGAAAAGCACTGGGAAAGTGTTTTATATACACTTTGGAGTATAGTTGGGAGCTCTGGTAGTATAGTGCCTAAGGCACTTTACTGCTAACCAGAAGGATGGTGGTTCAAACCCACTGACCACTCCCTTAGAAGGAAGGTTGGGCAATCTACTTCCGTAGTGATACCGCCTTGGAAACCCAAGTGGGGGTTGCTATGAGTCGGATCTGACTCCATGGCAGTGAGTTTGGTTTTGGTTTGGTTGGAGTATAGATAAGTCTCACAAATTAGATGAGGAAAAGACAAGTCTGAATTATACACAGTATTTTTGGGAGAAATTAATTCTGACATTATAGTATTTGAGTAAATGGTGATATCCTTTAGTACCTGCTTAAAAAAATACATGTATGAATGATTTATTACTTGTTAATTGCATGGGTTTTATTTTACTTGTTTGCAAGTGGTTTATTCTGTTCGATTAAATTCAATTGTGATCATATGGCTATTTGCTAAGTAAACCCATTTTTAAAATATCTCTTGTCTATGAAATACATATACAAATTAAACATCTGCGCATACAGATAAATACCCATTAAAACAAATTCTAGAGTTAATCTAAATCCCTTTGCTATATTGTAACTAAGTTGTATTAACAAGGTGTTAAAAAAGTCTTTTTTCAAACTCTTTATTTTATTGGAAAATATATGAATAAAAGAATTTGGCATGTTAGAATAAGAGCCCATTTCTATTCTGGACTATTGTTCAGATATGCCCTGTTGACCATATCCCTCTCTCTTGTACTTTGATCATTGTTAGGATTCTTCCATCCTAGTAGGTTTGCTGCTGCAGCCTGAGGACAGGCTATTCTGTACTATTTCTGTCTTAGAGCAGGCATGTATGGGATAACCTGGGAACCTCACCATCAGCTGTGGAAATGTTTTTATAGAAAAAGCTCACACTTTCAGATTTTTCAGTTTCAAAATGACCTTAACATAATAATTCATTATCAAATTGGCTGTGGTCTAGATTTTTAGTAGGCTTCTTCTTATGTACAATGGATGAGTTTTATTTAAGTATGTCAAAACTTTAATCATACACTGGTGGATTTTGTTACCTAACAGGATTCAGTAACTCCTCACAAAGAAAGCCTCCTTTCATCCTTCCCTTTCCCCCTTCCTTTCTTCCATGCTTTCTTTTTCTAGTTCTGGTTTCCTTAGATTAGGGCTCATATGTGGAAGGCATGTCACAGGTAGCTTTTATTAGGTGAGTTATTGGGGCTTATTTGGGGACCTCAGATTCCCTAATTTATAAATTATTCATTTACTGTGCCCATTCTCCTCCTGCCACTATGAGCCTTTTATATTTGCACGGTTCATTAGTAGAAGGTGATGAAGGAACAGTGGGTAAAACTGTTAAAACAGTTTTGCTGTTAGTTGCTGTAAACAATTGGTGAGGGGGAAAAAGTCAAGAGGAAGAAGAAAGTGTTAAAACTAGTACTTTTACCTCTAATCTAATTACCTAT